CCTCGCCGCCGTGGCAGAAGTTGGTGGACAGGAGGGGGGGGGGGGTGTGTGGCAGGGTGGCGGTGGGGGAGGGGGGGGGGGGGTGGACCGGGTGGTGGAAGTGGAGGTCAAGGTGCGGGGAAAAAAAGGAGACAGGGGCTCAGGTGTCGCGGGACCGCCGCGGCCGGGGGCGCCGCGGCCCGGTGGCCGAAAAAAACGCCCCAAAACACCAGCGGGAGCCCGCCCGATCGTCCGCGTCCCACCGGGGCCCGGTCTCGCCTGTGCGCTGACCCCTGTGGGGGGGGGGGGGGGGGGAGGATGCCCGCCCTCTGTTGGCCTCTCGTTTCGCCCCTGCGCGGGGCCCCTTGCCCGGCGGTCCGTGCCACACAAGTTGGCGCCTCCCTCCGACCGGGACACTCGGGGCGGGGTGCTGGTGCTGGGGGGGGCGGGGGAGTCGAGAGCCGGGCTGGCTGCGCGCCCCTCCCCCCGCCAAGGGGGGGGGGAATATACCCACAAGCAGTGGGCGCGTGATGCGCCGACCTGACCGGGGACTCTTAACTCAGTGCACACCTGCCCGCGCAAGCGGGAGGCTCCGTGGGGACGCCGCTCGCCGGTCAGTGCGTTGGCCGCATGCCTGTCCGCTGGCCGCTGCCCGTCGGGCGCCCCCCCCCCGGCCCCGCTGCCCTCGTTCTGGCACGCCGCACACCGCACGCACGCACACACACACACACACGCACACACACACACACACACACACACACACGGTCCCCTGTGCTCCCCCCTGTCCTTCCCGGACGGGCGCCGGCGGGGCGCCTCGCCCAGGGCCGTAGGTCCGCCCGGGCGCCCGCCGCCCCGCGCCGAGCTGCCCCTCGTCCCCTTCTCGTGGCCGAATAGCCGCCCGATCTCTGCACGCCTCCCGGGGCGCCGCCTCCCCCCCCCGCTGTGCCGGGCCTTGCCTCGGCCGCCGCCCCCGCCCCCGCCCCCGCCCCCGCCCCCGCCGCCGCTCGGCCACACCGCCCCACCGCCCCACACAGTTGAGCGGGTCCCGCGCCGCATGCCTGGTCGGCCTGACACCCATCCTGCCTCTCCCTCCCCCTCTGTCTCTCCCCCTCCCTCCCCCTGCTCCTCTTCCCCCGCTCCGCACAGCCGTACCTCCCCCCCCCCCCCCCCCGCTTCTTTCACCGCGCTCGCGCCGTTGCTCTCTGCCGCCCCCCTTCACGCCTCCTGCACACTGCTCACCCAGTCGCCCTTGCATGTACCCCGCGCTGCGCGCATAGCGAGCCATCACCATGTCGGCAGTCGCTCTTTCTACTTCGCAATCCACGGTGGCCTTCAATGAGCCGCTGGACCTGCTGACGCTGGCGCTAGATGAGCGCGTTCGCATCCGTCTGCGCGGCGGGCGCGAGCTCCGTGGACGCCTGCAGGTGTGTTTGCTCCCCCTTCGCCGCCCGCTCGCGCCCGTTCGCGCGCCCCCTGTGACTTCCGCATGGCCGAGCCCGCCTGACCACCTTTCGCACTCGTCCCCAGGCGTACGACTTCCACCTCAACTGCATCCTCAGCGATGTGGAGGAGACCGTCACTGAGATCATCTACTCGGAAGAGGACCCGACCGTGGTTGTGTCGCAGAAGACCGTGCGTTCGCCCCGGCTCTGGGTCTGGGCCTGGCCCGATTGGCTGTCCGGCCGGTCCGCCACGCCGGTGGCCCATTCCTTGCCTATTTGTCCCGCCTGCCCAACCACCCGCCCACGCCCATACTTACCCCCTCTTCCCGTCTCTGTCTCTCTCTCTCTCTCTCTCTCTCTCTCCGCCTTCCCCCACATGCACACAGATCAAAAACTCCTACAGCCTGATCTACGTCCGCGGTGACAGTGTGGTCGTGGTCTTCCCGCAGGGCGCCGAGTCGGAGCCCACTGGTTCGGTGGTCGCCGACGCCGAGTAGGGCGGCACGCCCTCGCTCCCCCTTGCCGCCCGGTGCGCCCCCTACTTCGTCGCCACCAGGCAGGGGCATCGGCCTCTGCCCTCCTCCTCTCCCCTGTCGGCGGCGCCGGTTGTCTCTGCCCCCCCCCCCCCCCCGCGTGTGTTATATGAACCAAAATAAATAAACTTCCATCCTCCCTCCCCCCCTCGGCTCCGCCCCTCCCCCCCGAGGGCACCTCAGCTCCCTTGATCTGGCCCGAGGGAGAAAGGGGAAAAAAAAACCCACCAACGCGGCGTCATGCACCTTGTGGAAACTTTGGGGGGGGTATATTCGATGCGGCAGGCACGCCCTTGGATGGTGCGGGAAAGGAGAGCCGCGGCGGCAGAGGCGAATGGGCGTTCAGGTGTAGCAAGGACGGGGGAGGAGGAGGAGGAGGGGGGAAAGAGAAGACAAAACTGGAAGGGGCAGGACCTCTGGGGGGGGGGAGAGAGAGGAGGAAGGGGAAGTGCGTCCTGCAACGCCCGCATCCAGCGGGAGGGGGGAGAGAGAGAGAAAGGAGGGGAGAAAGAGAAAGGGAGAGTGGGAGGGAGATGGGAATGACAGGAGGGCAGCACACACACACACACACACACACACGCACACAGACACACTCGCCGCACATCGTGCAATGTGTGTCACGGAGGATGCGCACAGCGCCACCGGCATGCACACACACACACACACACACGGCCGCACACACCCACACAGGTCACTTGCAGCCACTCTTACAGGAGCACACATTTGGACTTCTTGCCGCCGGCAGACTTGGACGACTTGGACTTGCCGGCGTCGGCGGTGGAGGCGCCGGCGTCGGCCGGGGTGGCGGCCGGGGCGGCGACAGCGGCGGCGTCGGCGGCCTCCGGCGCGGCGGCCGGCGCCTCGTCCTCCACGTTGCGGTAGTGGTCGCGGATGTGGCGGACGATGGAGAAGAAGGCCTCCTCGATGTTGTAGCCCTCCTTGGCGGAGGTCTCCAGGAAGAGGGCATCCGAGTTGCGGGCAAACTCCTCGCCGAGGGCGGTGTCGACCTCGCGGTAGTCCTCGAGATCGCGCTTGTTGCCGAGGATGATCATGGGGCAGGTGTCGACATCCTTGGCGCGGAGGATCTGGTCGCGGAAGACCTCCACCTCCTCGAAGGAGGACTTGCTGGTGATGGAGTACACGCAGAGGAAGCCATCGCCGCTGCGCATGAACTTGTCTCCCCAGAGACCACTGGCAGGGTGGGGGGAATGGGGGAGAGAGAGCCAGAGTGCGTGCGTCGTGAGGGAGGGAGGGTGGGCGAGTCAGGCACAGGGGGGACGCGCAGGTAGGAGAAAACCCATCGCGGACACGGTGGGAAAGAGGGGGGATTCGGGGGTGGAGAAGAGAGAGAGAGAGAGAGAGAGAGAGGGGGGGGCATGCGCACCGGTACTCCTCCTGGCCGGCGGTATCGGTGATGTCAAGGGTGCAGTCGACGCCGTCGAGGTTGACCTGCTTGCAGTAGGAGTCCTCTGCGGGCCGGGGCGAGGGGGGGGGGTCAGTGTCTGGGCGGGAGGCGCACGGGGCAAGGCGGGCGCAGGCGGCCGGACGTACCAATGGTGGGGTCGTACTCCTCGACGAACCTGTGCAGCGAGCGAGCGAGCGAGCGAGGGGGAGAGGGAGGTACTGCGTGTCAGAGATATGCGGCGGCCCGCGCGCGCAACGGGGCGAAGGGCGAGCAGAGGGGCGGGGGAGGGGGGGGGGGCACACGCACTGGCCACGCATGAAGTTCAGGGTGACGGCGGACTTGCCGACACCACCACTGCCAACAACGACGAGGGAATACTTGTTGGACATGATGACGATCTGCGGCCGGAGGCAATGCCAGCCCGGAGGAGGGAGGGGAGAGGGCAGCAGCGACAGAGGGTCGCCACGGGGCGGCGCCGGTCAGGCAGGAGGACGGAGGGGGTTAGCGGGGGGGGGGGGGGGGGGGGGCGGGGGGGACAGGGGGGCAGGCAGGCCCCAGGCGGGGAGGAAGTGGGCAAAGGGGGGCGTCCGCCGGCGACGCACCTGAGAAGAAGGGAGGGTCGCGGGGGATGGAAGGGGGCGGGGTCCTCGAGTGGTGGTGGTGGTGGTGGTGGTAGGGAGGGGGGAAGGTGCACGGGGGCGAAGGCGGCGGGGAAGACGGGGGAGGGGGGGGGCGAAGGAGGGAGAGGAGAACACAGTTGTCCGGTCCGGACCCACGCCCGACCGGGACGGCCTGCCGGCCGAAAAGCAGGACAGCACGCGCGGGCCGGCGGCCGGGGTGGCGAGGGTACGGCCTGCGCCGGGGCCGGTCGGATGGGAGTTGACGCAGGGCTCTCGGGAGCTTGCATCCTCCTCCCACAACCCCCTCCCCCCCCCCCCCCCTACCGCCGTCTTCCCCGCCGCCGGCTGCCCCCTTGCCGCCGGGCTGTGGGCGACCCGGCCCGCTGGATGTGCGGGCCAGGGGCCGCCCGCTGGGTGCATGCAAAATAAATCTGCGTGTGTGTGTCGGCGCGCGCGCCGGCCGGCCGGCTGTTGCTCGCGTCCCGGGGCCGCCGCCCGGCTCCGGGGCGCATGCGCATGTGCTCCGAAAAAGCAAGCGAGGGGGCGGGGGCGCCTCTCTCTCTCTCACTGGCCCGGGGCTGCCGGCCGCCCTCCCGGCCGGGCCGACTCTCGCCACCTCCGCCTGCCTGTCCCCTTGGACGCGACCGGTCCCCGCCCCCCGCCCCCCAGGCAGGGGAGAGGGGGAAGACCCACGGTGGAAATAACGAGGGGTAATATTATGCCCTGCAGCGGGGGGCGGGGGGGGGGGCCTACGGCGCCTCGGGCCCCCCTTTTTATTATGAGGTCCTTTCCTGGGAGGGGGACGGGGGGGGGGGGGGGGGAGCCCTGGGCCAGGGGCACTCGCCGGCCTGGGCCAGGCGTCCCCGGCGCCGGCCCTCTCCCCGCCCGAACACACCACAAATGAGCATGCGCCGACGCACATGCGAGCGTGCCCCGCGGCCGCAGCACCCCGACGACGCAGACGGGCGGGGGCGGGGGGTACGACCCACCTCTGGCCCAATCCCCCGCCCCTCCCCCCCGGGGGGGGGCGGGGGGAGAGGCCCAGGGGCGGCGACGCGCGCCCGGACGGACCGGCAGCCCGCTCGCGCCCCGCTCAAGGAGGGGACATTCTCGCCAGGGGGGGGGGTGAGGTATCCCAGACGGGCGCCCCGTGCAATGGAAAAATGCGCACGCGGTCGCCCGGCCGCGGAGGCCCCGCGCCCGCGGCCGCTCTCAGCTTCCCCGCCTCCCCCCCCCCGGTGCGGGCTGGGAACACGCGAAAGTGCCAGGGTTTTTTCCACGGCATGACGAAGCCGGCCTCTTGCATGGAAATCCCCCGGCCGGTCGGGGGCGGATCAGTTCCAGCCCCCGGCACGGGGGGGGGGGGGGGGTCATCTTGCCGACAGTGCGGTTGCCAAC